CCCCCCCCCCCCGGAGGGGGAAGAAATTCGAAAAGTTACCATGAATCGTCGGGATTTACTACGAGGTTGCAGTAGTAGTAGTAGATGGATGGCAAACGTGCCTCACGCTCGTTTTCCGCGTTCTGCATCTACCTCCTCGTCATCGATGCCGGCCCATACACCTTCTACAGGAACACACGGAAACAAGCAGCCTAGTTTGTAGCCCTACTATCTACCAAGAGAGTTAGTAGTGGTCGTTACAGTATCTGCATATATATTTAGTAGTATCATCGATCAAAGCTCGAAATCAGTCTAACTCAATTGGAACAGGTCGTTGACCAGCTTCCTCATTGGTCCACCTGCCTTGCACACTTGCCCTTGCCGCCTCCCCTAGCACTGGACAACAGGGAAACAACATAGTTTCGCAAATTTTCTCGTAGCCTTGGTCGTCTTGTAGTTTTTTTTTACTGGACTCAGTCGGCCACACGGGCGACTGGCGGGCTATAGCAACGGCTGCTCCTCGGGGGTATGCATGCGAAGATTACGAAGATGACCCTGTCGTGTGCGGGGTGTCAGCCATCTCTCGGGAATCTCCACAGCTCCACAGCGCCAGCAGCGCCAGTGGTGATCCATGCGAGAGCGGGACGCCAAAGTACCAAGGCCTCGGCAGAAAACCCGGGGATACATGGGTCGGGTATATCCCCCCCCCCTCCCCCCACAAAGGGCCCCGAAGCGCCGACGCCTCGGCAGAAAACCCGGGGATACATGGGTATATGTCCCCCCCTCCATCAAATGACCCCGAAGCGCCGACGCCTCGGCGGAAAACCCGGGGATACATGGGAATATGTCTCCGCTCCCCCCCCCCAAATGACCCCGATTTTCGATTAGTAGGCCTAGTAGTAGACTATGTGTCTTGAATCTTATTTCACGTGGTGTACCCTTAAGAGGGCGGTCCATTCGAACAGGCGTCACAAACTGTGGCTTCAGATAATCCGTAGTAGATAGTTACTACGGTAGCACTGCAGTCAGCGTGGCTTCAAATAGGAAGACATGGGCACCGGCTACGTTATGGTTTATCCTCTGACCCTCGTTCCCATAGAACAATCCAACGACTTGCGACGATTAAATCGAACCGCCGAACGGTAAGCCATCGCTTTGAGCAAGCGTGGCTTGGTCTTGCGGTCTTCAACATTGGTTGAAGCTCCCGAAACCAGTTCGACTGCAGGGCAACGTCAAGCTCTGACGGCGTAGAGCTAGCCCGAGAACAAGACTGTCTTGTACCGATTTTGTGGCGAATCGTTATATTGGTTCGTCAAGGTTCACTGGGCTCTTCAAGTCAAACACGTCAACTGTATGAGCTGATCGAGCCAGGGGAACGACGCTGATGACCGATGGCAGCTGATTCACACCATGGTCAACACATGCTTGACTTTCATCTTTCATCACGCCTTCATGAATCTACCACTGTAATATGCTCTCTGATGAGCCAACTTCGGGGGCGCGACTTGAAGCCCATGTGATTCTGAACCAAACCAGTTGGGTTTGGGTCGGATTAACCCACGTATTATGAAAGCAAGTGAACGTTGTTCGCGCAACAAGTACCTGCCGACCCCCGGACGCCTTCAAGATCGAAAGAGAGTAATTGTTTTTCTTGCTCATGAAACCCGAGTATGGACCATGGTCTTTCCACACAACTCTACGCATTTCATACACCGTACGCCGATCGGCAACCGTTGCCCCGCTCCGCACGCTCCTTGGACCAATCAGGGTAGTGGGGTGTCCCTGAGGTACGTGCCCTCTCTCCCTTATATGCTACACACCAAAAATCACTTTTTGTCGCTACGCTACACCGTTGTGTTTCTCAAAACCACATTTAAGTGTTTTTTTAAACCCTTTTTATCGACTCGCTTGTCCCCCTTGCACCCGTCCTTCCTGCTCTCGTGACAAACGATGTACACCATACGTTGCGGCAGTGCCACCCTGCCTTCGACTGCACGCACGTCTTAAAAATAACTTCTACGGTAGACCAGACGGGGGCCAGTTTCGCCAAATATTCCATTCACCGTCGTCTTGCTCCCAAGAAAATACCACGCCACTCCTCGATACAGTCATCATCCCCGATTTATCTACAACAAATGCTCAGGTTTTCGAACTGTGCCTTTCTTTCATCCACGATGTGGCACCAAGGACGTCGAAGCCCTTCGCCTTTGTATTTACAGAAAAATTAAATTCGGTGATCCTAGTTGTAAATCAACCAAGCCCTCAAAAGGCGACAAATTACGTCCATCGCCTCTATTTCACGGCAACCAGGTCAGATTACCATACAACGCCGTACATAATACAGTTTCGCTACTGCAAAAATGCCCCACAAAACATCACACGGTTCGACGGCAGACACGTGCACGTCGCCCGATCTTCTTCAAGCCACGTGTCAGCCACGTTTTCCTCACAACCGAATGCTGCCCCCTACAGCCGCAGAACACATTTGATACATACATACATACATTGTTTTTTGACAGACGAAAATACGCAACCAAAACCCTTGCTCCCCCCTATGGGCATCACATATACAACAACCCTCAGGAAAAAAAAAAACACAACATATATCAACGCAGAGTTACCGAACCGGGCAGCCGTTGAAGCAGTAGTAGTGCTTGTCGTCGGCTGGACTACTACTTAATTTCGATGCTCTTGGGCAGCTGGGGGGCGGCCCTGCCGACAGCGACCTCCAGCCCAGCAACGTTGCGCGATTTCTTGCCTCCCTCGAGACCGCCACCGGCGGCATCACCGCGGCCGCGCTTGCGTGGCTCCGGCGTGAACCTGGCCGAAATGTCGGAGAACGAAGCGTCCGACGGCAGGCACACGGCCTTGGAGACCATGTGGTTGCCTTCGCCGAAGAAGGCCACGCGAAGCCCCTTGTTGTCCGGCGTCACCATCAGCTCCACGTCGTCGCGAGTCGCGCCCTGCGGCAGAGCAAACCTGCGAGCGCGTGCACCAAACAAAGTTTGTTGAGTCCATATTCCAAGGGGTACGCGCGACGTCGACGGGTTCGAGGGAGGGAGAGGCGGGAACAAACAGCAGACTCTACTCGTTTCGTTTCGAGTTGAGAAAAACAAGCATTTCCGATGAGAGGGTGGGCGGCAAAGCGTGTATAAAAGGGGACCGGGACCTTGACGTGTCTTCCTTGTGTCCGGTGCCATAAAAAAAAAATAGTTTCACTACGATGCGCGCGCTGCTGGGGTACCACGCCCTACACGTTACATCGACTCGGAGACATGGTAACGCTCTCCCGGCCAGCGGGTAATGCAAAATTACCAACAACATGCCGCACAAAATAGCCCTGCGTTACATCCCGGCGCGAAAACGTTTCTAGTCTGTGAAGCAGTGTAGGGGCATTCCGTCAACACGTCGTAAGGTATCGGGTACCCCGGCAGACAAGCGAAAGAACAAGTATGCTGTCGTAGCACAGACCACATCCCAAACAACAAGCTAGAAACTTGGAGCAACGGTTTCACGACCATCCCACGCACTTGACGACGTACTCCAGCTCCTTCTCCGACACGTCCGTGGCCATCGTGGCCCTCCTGAGGGCCTTGACGATCTTCTTTCTCTCCTTCCGGGCCCTGGCGACCGTGGCCGCGACCTGCTCCTCCGTGGGAAACCTCTCGGCACCGTCCCCGTGCCACATGTCCCTCACGAGGCTACGGAACTCGAGGTCCAGCTCCTGGATGCTCGAAGGGTTAATGCCGGCGTCGTCAGGCTTCGAGCCGTACAGGTACTCGGCGGCGGAGGACGAGGCGGACGGGAGTTGGTCGTCGCCGTGGCGGCGCTCGACGGGAACGACCCCCGAGTCGTCCATGGTCGAGAAGATGTTGTTCATTCCGCCGATGTTGACCGGGTCGTAGTGGGCGACCTTGGTGAGGTTGATCACGACCTGGTTGTCGTTGCCCCAGGAAGCGGTGACCTGCGGGAATGCATGTTTCGGACAAGCCGTTGACCACGCGTACATATGCTAATGTTAATGGTTTCCACGTGCAAAACATGCGTGCATGTACAGTTATTATCTCGACAAAAAAACAAAACACGCCTGGTACAAATTCATGATGGTATTAAAGAGTGTGCGAAAGGTGCAATGTGTTCCTCACTTCATATTGTCTCTTCCGGCGCGTTTCCAGAGCCCAACATCAATATCTCTATGGACTTCCATAAATAACTCATTGTCGTCTCATTCCCTGCTATGCTCCACCAGAAAGAAGGAAAAAACTTCCCTTCCAGATATGGGAGTGTTGCAACTATTGGCGCACATCCTGCTGTACAGTAGGATACCAGCTGAGCGGAGTATCTTGCTGGCGCTGAACACCAAAAAACCATGCTATGGATACGACTACAATACTCCAAAGCCACCCTGAGGAGAGACGGAGAGCGGGGAAAGTGAATCGTATTCTTCAGCACAAGCCCCCCCTTGGGTGTCACTCTCGCTCTCCTTCTTCCGAGACCGTCCCCCCTTGTCAACTCTCAACAAATTCAAATGCGAGCCCCTGGTGGGGGGTGTACAGTAAAGACTACCGCCTAAAGGGTCTCCATCTAACGAGGGAAGCCCGCAGTGTCGTTAGACTCCGATGGTACTTTCATTCCAATCGTGCTTGTTGTTGGTTCACCTCGTTGGAAACGCTACCCGGGAGCGTGAAGGAGCGCGCGGCAGCATTCGTCTTGGTTGTGCATCGAGTCATGACCCATCCCTTGGAGCCGTCGCTGCCCTCATCAGCCGGATTGCTGATCACGTCGTGGTTCTCTTCGCGCGTTGTCCGGGCCTCGATGGTTAGCAGGCGTCCACTGGGGAGCAGGAAACGTGATAGAAAGTTGTAAGACACAACCAAGACATCAGCAAGTAAGCGCCAGCAGGATACAAGTACATCACGACGGTCGATGGTCCTGGAGAACAGGAGTTTTTTTTTTACTTTTTCGTATCTCAGCAACAAACCAACCCAAGTAGAGTACACACCTGCACAAGAGCAAGAAAAATGCGCTTTGTCATTTCATTCAATATGAGAGGGGGGACCGATATCAGGGGGGCGAAGTCGACTGTCACCGACTCGACCTTCTTATGGTACTTTACAGTTGAGTACTCTCTTTCCGGGGAGTAAATGAGAGGGATCCGATGTTAGAGCGTCGAGGGCCTTTTTCACACCACCCTCCTCGTACATTGGAGCCACGACTGCTGTATCTGAGGAATTTACATAAAGGTTGGAATGTGGAAGGCAACGACAAACATAGCGTGCACGCAAACTTACAGTAGTGCCACTGGAGCACCTTTCGGCAGGCCGAAATATAATAACAAGCGAACTTCCAGCCGAACGCATGTTCATACTCACAAAACGTCAGAAGACCCCACGCACTGGAAAACTCAACCACATCCTTTGCAACTAACTGCTGTGGTATGCAAAGTCTGTGTCTCGACGGGTACGTAAGGTAGGTCATGGGTGATTCTGTGTGTATTCTTCTGAGGAAGATAAACCCGTTTTCGTCCCTACACCTCGTAACCTGCAGGTGACCGATGTGCGCGGGCAAATTTGAAACTAACCAACGAACGGTCCGCCCTGGCACTGGGAATGGAAATGAACGGGACGTTTCAAAACACTAACCGCCGAACACGGAGCATGCCAGAAGGCCAAAGAGACAAAACACACTTAGTGTCTTTCCTCCTTTGTGATCGCGGGGATGGTATGCATACGTCGAACATCTTCCGCACGGCGTAGACTGCAATCCCCGAGAATATGACTGAAGCACTCAGAGGCGACTTTCGTTTTTGAAAACATGACACAACAACAGTCAACCACGTCTCACGTCTCTCTGTCTGTCCAAGACTAGCCAGAAGTTTTGGGTCTCACCACACTGGCACGGTGCAAGGCAACTGCGCGAGACAGAACCACGTAGAGAGGACGAGGGGGTGAGAGAGGGGGGGGCGATGTCCAGGTTGAAAGCAGCTGGTTAAACTCATTGAACTTCAAGGAGGCAACCAATTGCGCTGAAACGACTGACCTGACCGAGACCTCCAATCCGGTGTCGCTGATTCCGCTCGGCAAGTTGAAGGTGAGCGCGTACCCGGCGTCGGTCTCGCGAACCTCGGGGTCTGGGATACACATCGGGCATTCCTCCAGGAGGAGGGGCAGGTCGAAGGGCGGCTGTGCTACGACAGGCGGGGGAGGGGTCGTCCTCATCGCCTCCTCACGACGGGACTGCTGTTTGGCGCTGACTGCCATTTGCAAGGGGTCAGATTTTCCGCGCACATTTGAAAAGAAACCTCGTTCGAAGTGATGATGCCCTCGCCCACCAACAGACGACGTACCTAGGCCGGCCGGAACTGGCGCAAAGGCTGACACTTGTTGATCGGTCGCGGGCAGTACGGCGGAGAGCATCGCAGCCCCCACCACGGCCGGGCGGATGGACATGATCTTCGGCATGTCGTTGTGTTGCTGTTGTCAAACTTCAAACAGCTGCTTGCGCGCGCGGCGAAAGATCGCGTGGAGTCTCAAACAAGATCTCGCGGTTGGTGTGGACACGCTCGCCTTCTGACTATAATTTTGGTGCTCGATAGCTTCACAGTGTAGGTCTGTTGCAGGGTCGCGTGGGGAAGTGGGTGTGGGGGCGGAAGTGGGAGGAACGGGCGTCTGTTGCATCACCAGCTCCAACGAACAATATAGAGCCAGCCCTCAAGTTGAGCTTTGGGGGCACGGAAAATAGCAGGGTGTGCATATATATATACAGGCAGAGGGGCCGCTCGCAGGCAACCGCTTTGTGTTGGGTTGGGGGATGATCACCACGTGCGCTACGCTACCCCGTCTTCTTGGACGGCACGATGGTCAACAGCATCGCTAGGAGAGAAAGGTTGTCCTTGGGCGCCATGCGGTGTTTGTCGGCGGCGATCATGCTGCTGGCGGTGGCAGACCAGGTGTGTTGAGCTCCGAATTGCAGCCGGGTCAGGCTCCCCCGCATGGGATGACCCTGATCTCTTGCGTTGCAGCTCACCAAAGGCCACCCACGTGCTGTTTTTCTTCGTGTGGTAGGGACCCGTGGTCCATCTCTTCTTGTGACACCCTTAACGGTTTGCGAGTATGCTGTAAAGCCAGTTACCATCGCGCAGGCATGCACGTTGAGGATGGTCGTGCATGCACACATGCCACATGCACGCCATGCACACGCCGCGCATACTCAGCCTTACGTCACTGACACACTCTCGCTGCTCTCGTTCGGGCCTACATAGGCGGACGGGTTCTATTGTGCTCCCGGTCAAATCGGGGGAAGGGCTTCCCGCTGCAGTGCAGTTTCGAGCTCGAGAAAGGTTAGTTTTTTTTGTAGTCGCAGAATCATCATCTGTGTCAGCCACCAGCATGTTGCGTTGAAGTTTGTTTGTATGTCGCCGGAAGAACTCCCACCTATACGCCAACCGTCGGTTTGTAACCACTTACTACAGCAGTAACCTCGAAGCATGCGCTGCAGTGCTTGCAGATGTGTAGAGGACGAGAGAGAGAGAGAGAGAGAGAGAGAGAGAGAGAGAGAGAGAGAGAGA